GTTTTATTTATTAACTACTTTGTTGATTTCATTAGGCAATTGTTTACAACGTGCGCAGCGCAATGTCAAATACAATTAACACGTGAAGCAGCCAACTATTGATAAGCCGATAATTTAATATTTATATAATTTATGTATGTACATACATGTACATATATGCTTATCTCCATCAGCATACAATCTCACCTAGAACTGTTTATGTATGTAAAGACCCCAAGACATTTCACCTATCGTAATCATGGCAGAGACTAAAACATATATTTTAAAAGAAACCATGAAGCAGCATTTTAAAAATTAATTTGAAACAATAATGAGCAAATGTATTTAATTTTGTGAATTGAAGTATATATTTGGAAGCCGAGTTAAAAGTGCAAACAAAAAGTGTCACAATACAGAGATTAGACACCGCATCACCAAGTGCCTTATCAAATGTTAAATAAATATATATATATATATAAAAATGTATATATAAACATATATGGCATATAAATAAATATATTTATAAAGAAAAATCAAAGTAAATATTTACATAAATTTACTGGCGAATGGTAAACAAAAATAGAAGATTAGATAGCCCCGCTGACAAAGAGAGTCTTTAATTGAAATTTCCCAAAACATACGATTCTTATGCTTCCATTGGCCTCTGTATATATATGTATGTATGTATACTATGTATATAAATAGTTGCTCATTCTGATTGTTGTCATATCGATAAAGAATGCCGTTGCCAGCTCACGGGCTCACGGTAAAACGTTTATTTTGATTGACTGTAACACGAAAGCTCATGCTTTATTAATAAGTTTACCCATAAATCCGCAAAGTTATGTACATAGCTATATACATATATTGGCTGTTCATTCACATAATATTTTTAAGGTCACGTGTTTTTTTTTTTTTGCTTTCTTTTTTGATCACGCGCCTATCTCTAAGTAAATAACAACCAAGGTGAATTGTTTACCAAATTATTTCGTTTTTATAACTAAATTGGATTAGTAGATAGCAGCAGATATGTATGTGTTTCTGTGCATGTGTGTGTGTGTGCAGGTACGTGCGGAGGCCTCAAGATAACAATTAGTTACAAGCTGACAGCCTTTTATGACTAAATCAAGGCATATTCTTGACCGACAAATTGCCGCAGTTGCAGCGAGTATAAATTGATTGTTTTTGTTGTTCGCTTTTAATTCTTTGCTTTCGTAATTTTTCATTATCAGCTAAAAAAAAAAAAAAAAAAAAAAAAAAAAAAAAAAAAAAAAAAAACACACACACACAAGCGAAGCATTGAGAAATACAGAAAGAGGGCATTGAACAGCTCTTGATTGACTTCAATTATGTATACACATATACATATATACAGAAACATACTCATATATACATATACATATATGTCTATGGCATTTTGATGCAGCTAACAGTATTATTGATAAGGCATTTAGTTAGATTGGATTTTCATCATTTGTTGTTCATTGCGAGTCAATGAAGAGGCTGAAATATAAGATAGTTTTTTACCGGCTTGGGCAAATTTCACGATTCCCATAGAGTCCGGAACAATTAAGTTTCATTGCGGTTGGCCTCGTTTAATTACTATAACAATTAAAGTGTCGCTCGCTAATCAACGATAATAAAGGATTGAGTATGCCTCGCACGTATAAACGACTCTAAAAATGCAGCACTTATTTCGTAAAATGCGCTCAATGTGGAACAGAATGTAAATTACTGCGGGAGGGGCAGACAGAGGGAACGAGAGCATACTAGGACAGTTCCGAAAATGAATTGTCATTGGCCAGAATCTATCAGAGATTTGCAATTGAGCAACCGAAGGCAAGAGAGGCGTGCTCACTAATACATACAAATAAAGAAATAAATATAATAAAGTGTTTTTTTTTTTATGGCTCTCTTACAGGTAATTTTATAATTTAATTCAAATAGTCAAAGTCATCATTAAATTAAATTTGTATAGGGTTGCAGTAACTTTTTTTTTTTTTTATATATGTATATTTATATAAATTTTGTTTTTTTTTATTTGAATGATATAGATTTTGAGTTCAATATAATTGCTTTACATAAATTTAATTAAATGATATTATTTATTTTTATTGATTTATATTTTATTGATATATTATATTGTATTGATATATATATATTATATTGATATATTGATATAAATTTTATATTATATTGATATTATTTATTTTCTTTTATATTGTGTTCATATTTTATCCACTTATTTATGCTTAATTTAAAACAAAGTAAATAAACAAAATAAAATGGAAGCTTAATGAATTTTAAAACATTTATAAAATTTCATAATCGTACAAATTTAACGATTTAATTGTGCAATTCATTGTCTAATAAAAAGAGCATTGACTTTCCTCAGGCGAAAAATGTAAACGTTTGGTTTTTACAAAATTTTTCCGTCAAGCATGCAACACACACGCACACACACACACTTGGCTCTAGCCAAGCAGTGCTGCATTGGAGATCAGCCCCTTTCACTTTAAAGATATTCAACGATGTTTGCCTTGGCAACAGCCATTAGAGTAGGTTTGTTAGGCGTACTGAAAATGCAAATGAATTTGTAAGGTGTAATAGCACGTCTCTCGCCTGAGCTCATTTCAATTATGCATGTGTATGTATTTCGGAGTTCATACATACATAGGTCTGTGTGCAGTATGCGACTAATCATAAATAATGAAAATAATTACAAGCCAAATTGTATAGCAAACCAAATGTGCGACTTAAGGTCAAATCACTTTTTCATGCAACACCTTGAGCTGCGGAACACACAAACACACACACACATACTGTGGGTCCAAATCATTTTAGCGATGTGGGTTCCAAAAAGCAAGGCCAGGGGGTTTCTACTCTCGCTCTCCCCCTCTCTCCCTCTTTCCTTCGAAGGAAACCGGTTATAGCCATGCCATGACGTAGAGCCCACCACGATATTGGTAATGAATATGAATAATTGTTGCCGCAACCAGAGTTAGATCTCAGCCTTAACATTACGTACATACATACATCTGTATATATATTTAAATCTAAAAAGGGGGGTGCCGGATCGCTAAAATATTAAATTAAATGCAGCTAGTGGGAACTAAGGCCAAGTCACAGTCGCATACGCATTCACAGTACAGTAAAACTCCCTTAAAGCCAGTCACTAGTTCAGGCAGGTATTTAGATATTTCATTTATATATTTTGGAACATAATACACGTAAATCCCATTAAATTCCGCTATTTATTTGTAATCAATAGTTGATTGAAACTGTTCGAGTCCGCATTAGGCAGGCTCTACTATGGTTTTAATTGACCGGAAAGTAACGCTGAGTTGACTCCATTTGGCTTCCAAGTTCTTTTGGGGGCTGTTATTCACAGTGGCACCGGCAAAGCTCAGCTTGAGCTATGCGTGTTTATGGCGCACCTTGCTTACAGTGAAAAAGAAAGAAAATGACGGACGGAATAGGGATAGAGAGTAAGAGGAATGGATAGGGTGGTAGAAGGTGAACGGCTTGGCACGCGATGAGGTTTTATTGCCAAGAATAACAGAAAGGCAAACAACAACAAAATCAGGTGAAACACATAAGAAATAATAGAAATGAGTCCAGGGTGATTTACATAGAAATACCCTGTGATCTAAATATTTCTAAACAAAATCTTCCCTAAATAATATTCCTTTTTACGTTTAAGTGTATGATTAATATATATATATACATATATATTTCGAATTATCATAGTCAAAAAGTATTTTTATTACTTTGCAAAGTCGCTAGCAAAAAAAAAAAGTTGTATTGTTTAATGCATCTTTAAAATTATAAGACTAATTTTTCTCTACATACAACGTGAGTTTACAAATAGGGCCCTATTCTGTATATTTTTGGAGGGTATTAAAACCCATACAAAACCGAATTTCTAATCAAAAGGAAGCAGAATTACAATTTTATTTTTATACAATTATATTTGATATTATAATTATTGAGTCATATTTAGAAGAACGAATATAATAACAAAAAACAAAAAACTGTTTAATGATATCTGAAATCTAATAGGAAAAACTTGTTCTTAGTTTAAGATGTCAATGTTTATTTTTTAACGGTAATTATTTTGAGGTGGTTTAACCTTAATTGCATTGCATGTCGCAATTATAAATCATGAACTATGAAATATGATATCATTGAGATATCTCACATATCATTCAATTAACAGCCACAAAGTCAACATCATTATCTATTCTAACTACACTTACTACACCAATCTAATGAAATGAAAGAGATGTCAATTGAATTTAAGAGCGCACACACAAAATACGGTAAACGTATAAGGGAAATGCGAAATACGAACACAGCCACAACAACAAATATTAAAGCTTGCTTACTGGCAGACATCCAAGAAGGAAAATGGCACGTCAAAGGCAGTCAGTCAAATCCCTCATCCAGTCAAACATACATACATACACACGCACATGGTTCGTGCCGAGTCAGTCACAATGTGCGGCATATAAATCACATTAAAAATTAAACAGAGCAAAGAGAGTCAGAGAGCGGGCGACAGCGCCAGCAACGACAACAATAATAGCATACAGTTTTAGTCAGAGTATCAAAATGCATTGCAGGCGCAAAATTCACGCACACACACGTTTACATTCGCACATGTATTTATAAACAACACATCATAGGCATAAATTCTCTTAAGGCAAAGCTTTTAAAACATTGCTGCAGCTTTAATTGAAAGTCTTTGCCTTTATTTCATTCTACATCAATTTGAGTGCAATTTGCATTAGCGTTGAGCTCAAATATCGGACAGAGAGAGAGAGAGAGCGATGTGCGATTAAGAGAGCTATTTTTATAGCAACGCCAGGCTTGGGCGCAATTGTTCAGTTATAGTAAATAAGCTTAAGAGAAATTCGATCGATTTAAAGATTGCATTTTTGAATGGCGGAACGACAATATGAGCAATAATCTAATTGGACCACATTTGAGCATTGTGTTGTTTGTATAAAATTACTTACATTGAGCATCCAAATGATCATCTCCTCGCGCACAATGTCCATACTGCTGTGGGCACTGCTGAGCGCATAATCCACGGGATTATCGCTTTTACGCTGTTGCGTTGCTTCTGAGGCAGTTGTGGCTGTTACTGTTGATTTGCGTTGGCGTTGAGTTTTGGTTGATGTCTGCAATTTGTCTGTCTCATCGCTGGCCTCGAACAGGCTAAGCAATTCCATGTCGCCTTTGCAGCAACAGCGACACACGCGCGGCATTTCAAGCAGCTCATCAACGCTGCCAGCGTCGAATTTGTGTCCGTTATCTCCAACGGCGGCGTCGCGCACATCCTTTGCTGCATTCATTCGGTCAGCTGTGTCTATTCGAGTGGTGTTGCTGCTGTTGCTGTTGCTACGGCGTCGTTTGTTGGCACTCATTTTGTTTGATTTGTTGTTATTGTTTAGGTTCTTTCACTTTTGCGTTATCTGCGCTGCTTTAAAATTTATTTATTTATTTTATTTTTCTTCTTTTTTTCAACTTTATTTTCCTTTTGCACTCTCTTTCACACGCACGCTTGACATTCACATTGAATAGCCTGCTCTCTTTCTAGCTTGCTCGTTAAATCACACTCACACGATCGCTGCTGTCGCGCTGCCTTTCTTTACGGAGCTGCTGCTGCTGATCTGCTGGCGTAACGCGCTTTCGTTTTGACCACGACAGAAAATACCTAAAGCAGTCCGAGGGGGCAAAGATAAACAGATATTCATATATACTATGTACAATAAAAGAAAAAAAAAAAACATTCTTTCGTGTCGGTTGCTGTTGGCATATATATATGTGTATGTGTGTGCGAGCTGGGGGACAAGTTTTGGTTAGTAGGCCAACGGCCGCAAGATTTGGGCCTTAGCGCGATCTCTTTTTTTATGGGCTTAATTTACAAGAGAGAAAACATTGAGCACCGTTCATTTTTAGGAGGCGTTAGCTGGTGCAAGTGACGGCGAGCGCCCGCCCTTGCTGGCGTTCTAATTATAGCAAATTGCTCTCTTTATGGCAGCATCGCGTGCGTACGCCAAAGTCAAAAATATTTCAATTGGTCAATCGGATAAACAAGAGCCACAGAAAACAGCAGTGCAAGGCACAAGAGCAAACGTTAAATAGAACGTTTTGAGGTTACTCGCAATACATGCCCCAAACTGTGGCTAATTGAAATTTACAATCAAACCCACACACACATATAAATACGCAAAGACAAGCAATTAAATTGATATAAATATACAAACAAATAATCAACCGACACGCACAACTCAGGAGGCAACTGAATTTTTATTTATTTCTGAAGGCACACGAGATTTATTTAATTTATTATTGCGCGAGGTTTCCGCATTGACTCAACGAGACGAACTGTGCCCGGTGCGTGCTGCTTTCAAAATGAGTATAGTCCAAGTAGATCCCAATTCAAGTGCTGCACGTTCAAATCAAAATCTTACGCTCTCATGCGCTCGCTTGTGCTCTCTTTTCAAAGTGAGAGGGAGACAGAGAGAGAGAGAGCGAGCGCAAGTATTACATGTGCGTGTGTGTGTTTGCATGTCGGGCCCGCACTGACTGGGAGAGCAAGTAACCCGCACATAACGCTATAAATTTCACTTTAAATGCCGATTGCAAGCTGGATTCATTGAAAAATAACTGCAAATCACGCAAAAAAAGGGACATCATGCCAGGACTTTATTTTCTTTTTGCAGACGTTATTTTCTTTTTGCAGGTCTTTTGTGTTTTTATGCCTCTCAAGCAACCAAAAATACGGGACTAGCGCTCTGTTTTTGTTTTCCTCCGTTTTAGTATCGAAATTCGTGGTCTCTCGTTTATCTTGTCTAGTGCTTAGCTTGTCTGTACGTAGCACAAAAAAGGGTTCGTTGAAAATATGACAAGAACTTAACAACCTTCATATTTGTGTGGTCAATTTTTATGTCTTACTACCTAACGTTATTCGTTCATTATTTTTAAACTTTTGGTAAAATACTTACACTTGTCAAAAAAAAAAAAAACTTGTCGACGCCACCGCCTTAGCGGCGGCGTGTATACTTTTGTTTCGATGCAACTATAGCTTCTTAATTGCCGTTAACTGGACGGTCAAATTAAAAAAAAAAAAAGTGAATAAGAGAAACAACACTCATTCTTGTTTAATTGGGCTATTGTATTATTTAAATTGTAAAATTTTTAGTGGCGCACGAAAAAGTATTAGGATATCGTCGGCGGTGTGACCGAACTGGAGATAGTTAAAAAAACCATATGTTTTCTTGGGAAATACCAAAACATGCAACAATTTAACATGTGTTAAACTCTCGGCGTTGCCAACTACATTAAATACATACAAGTTGCTTGTTTACAGTATTCGATATATCGTTAAAACTACATGGTTGCTCACTGAAAACATTTCATAACTTACCACGTTACTTAAATAATAAATAAATAAATAAAATTAAAAACATTTGTATACCTCTAAATATTTATAATAACCTATTTTTATGAATTTTGCTATTATTTAAATTAGTAGGGTAGGCGACTATTTTCAATCGACTAGTTCTGTTCTTCATAACTATCGATAGGCATTCAGCCAGCTGCTTGAACGTTTTGGCTTGTTGTAAAACAGTAAACTGGAAAATGTCCCAGAAAAATGCAAAGTTAATCAATCAAAAAGAATATTTGAAGAAATATTTGTCGGGTGACAAGGAAAAGAAAAAGAAAAAGAAAGAGAAGAAACAAAGGAAGTCAGCACATGTTAAAGTAAAAATCATCGACGATGATGACTATGATGCAAATCAAGAGGAAATAGACGAGGACTTGTTGTTGGGCGGCGAAGATGCACCACAAATCGTGGGCGAATACATCGAGGAGAATCCCGATGCCATGCGCAGCAAATGGCGTAACATTGCCGTTAAGGATGAGCCGAAAACAGAAGCCGGGGAGAACGGCATCAAGCCAGAGCCCGCTAGTGAGAAGGAGGAGTCGTCTTTGTGGGGTCGAAAAGCGTCAGCTATAAAGGTCAAACAGGAGCCGGAGCTGAATATAAAAATCAAGCAGGAGAAGCGCAGCAGCAGTCGCGAGTTGAGCCCAACAAGGCGTAGCCCGCTCAGAGAGCATCTTCGTTCGGATCAGAGCCCAAAATGGAGGAGAAGACGAAGTGATGAAGAAAAGCCGAACAAGCGAGAGCATAATTTGGATCAATCGCCACCCAGAAGGGGAAAAAATTATGATCAAAGCCCACCCAGGAGGCGAAGAGATGATCAAAGTCCACCTAGGAGGAAAAAAGGAGATGACGATGATCAAAGCCCGCCCAGAAAGAGACGAGATGATGATCAAAGTCCACCTAGGGGGACACGAGATGATGATCAAAGTCCACCAAGGAGGAAAAAACGAGATGACGATGATCAAAGCCCACCTAGGAGGACACGAGATGATGATCAAAGCCCACCTAGGAGAAAAACACGAGATGATGATCAAAGCCCGCCCAGGAGACGTTTCAATGCAGCCCAATCTCCACCACGAAGGAGAAAGGACGCAGATCAAAGACGAAGGGACTCGGATCAAAGTCCGCCTAGAAAAAGACGGGATTCGGATCAAAGCCCGCCCAGAAAAAGAAGGGATTCAGATCAAAGCCCGCCCAGAAGACGTCAAGAAGACTATAAACAACACAGAAATCGACGAGATTCCGATCAATCCCCGCCCAGAAAAAGAAGAAATTCTCATCAAAGTCCACCCAGGCGACGTCGATCCAGCAGCAGAGATGGACGTCGAGGGTCGCCAGTGCGAATCAAAAAAGAGGAACGCAAAAGTCGCTGGGCCAAGGAGGAGCCCGCTCGAACGCCATCGCCGCCGCCAACACACAAGCCGAAAGGCCAAGCACAGATGCGAACGTTGGATGGCAAAAAGGCGGGTCTGCAGGATGCTCAATCCTTAAAAATTGAAACGGACGAGCGACGGCGTGAGGAGCGACGCATGTTTGAGCAGATGTCCAGCGAGGTGTCTGGACGAGATGCGGAGGTGCAGATGCGCAGCACGGGTCGGCGGGGAAGACGGGCACGCGACGCTGCCGCCGAGGATCCAGTGGAGCGCCAACGCAAGGAGGAACACGAGGAGAAGAAGAAGCAGCTCTACGATCGCTGGGGCAAAGGACTCAAGCAGCTGGAGGACCAGAAGGCAAGGCATGCGGAAATGGTGCACGAAGCGTCAAAGCCTGTGGCCCGCTATGCCAACGATGAAGACTTGGAGCGTCATCTGCGTGAGCAAGAACATGCAGATGATCCCATGCTGGAGTACATGCGGCAGAAGCGCAAGAAACGGGAACAGCATTCCGATAAACCTGTCCTGCCCGTTTACGAGGGCAGTTATCCGGAGAATCGCTATGGCATACGGCCCGGCTATCGCTGGGATGGTGTGGATCGGTCGAATGGGTATGAGCAGCGCTGGTTCGACAAACAGAATGAGCGACGAGCGGCGCAGGACGAAGCCTACAAGTACAGCGTCGAGGACATGTAAAGCACTTTGGCTTTTAATTATTGAAATAAATATTTGTGTACAAAATTATTTGTTATCGATTACTTTTCATATTTTCAATAAGGGTGCAGCTGTATTGCGGCTTTCTTTATCAAACGTATCGTTCGTTTCATTTTCCAAAACAACCCCATATATTTTTGTCGAGAGTAAATTTAAATATTACGTTTATAATAAAAAATTTTATAATTCGATACCATATTCATATTCAAAACATTTCTTTTTGCGCTGCTTTACAGCACTGCTTGCACTGTGCGCGCGCGCTAAATGCAACCCTGTGTGTAGAATATCAAAAGCAAAAGCGAATGGTAAACTAGTTAAATAGTCTTCAACAACACCTGCGTGCTGTATTGCGATTGCCCAAAGAACTCTTGGAAAAACAAAACGAAAGCTACATAGTTTACAATAACAATTTGTGTGTATTTCGTGCAAGTGCAAGTCTTCTTTAAACGGCAACTGGGTAAGCACTTTGTTTATTAGCATATAATAAAGTGTATGCATATTATTGTATACATATACTAGATATGTAAAATACTTTGTGTTTGGTACAAAGAACAAAGCGTAACGTAATTTGGTGTCAAAACAAGAGTGTGTGCGTCTGGTATACAACCGAGGCATACCCCGCCCCCGCTAATTAACATAAAACGCTTGCCATTAAATGAAAAACTAGAAGGAAGCAAAAAAAAAAAAATGACTGCTCGGGAAAACGTGTTGTTGCTTGCATTTTTTTTACTCAAACGACTGGTTGCATTGCATTATTTGTTGTCATTGTGGTGTGTATGTGTGTGTGTGTTGGATTCTGCTGCTTCAATTGCAACCTTCACCATGGCAACCAGTCGGTCAGTCAGCCGTTGTAAACCTGTTATTTGTTGTTGCTCTAGCTGCTGTTTATTGTGATTTGCTGTTGTTGCTTGCTACACATTTTTATGGTCGCGCAAATTGGCGCGAAAACTTTGCCAGCTGCAAAATGTGTGCCAAACGCTGTAGCTTGCATGCTGCATGCCACACTTATACATGCAGATGCATGTGCATATATATGTAGACTCCCTCTCTCTCTCTCTCTCTCTCTTTCTGTGGTTTTCTCTATCTTGCCCTCTGTTTGACACACTTCCTCAGATGGCATTCATTTAAAGCACTGGGCCCACCCTCCTACAACTTAATGACTTGGTGCGTGCGAGCGAGATGCATATGCTTTGTACTTATTTGCATATTCTTGATCTTCGCCTTGTGCAGTAAAGAGAGCGAATTAACGAGCATTGACTCTCTGAGCGACATTTCCGCTAGTCTTTCGTTAATTGCTCTTCGCTGTTGTCTGTTTAAAAAAGAGAAAGAACCGAAATTTTACTCCTTAGCTCATTAGCTTAAGTTGTAAAGCTGCATTTTAGCAAAATCAACAGTAAATAGGTACATATTTATGTAGTTAATCTTTCTATAATTTTAGCTCAATTGTGTCTGAGTCTTAAGAGCTAAATATCTAAATTAACTAAATATCTAAATCAAATAATTAAAGCTCTTATCTCATCTTGAAGTTCTGAAGCACTTAGTTTAATTCATACATAGACGGAATTATGTAGTTATCTATTTAAAAAATGATAAATGTATTTATGCAAGCAAGTACTTGAAATCTTATTATCTTCTTATCTGTTATAGGAGACTTGTCTCTCCATTTGCTGAGTTTTTGTTCTTTCCTACTTTGTATATCTTAGAGACAAGCATCTTATCTGGCAAAGAAATCCCCGAATACTATTCAAATAATTGGGATAAATAACAAATTTCGCCGTTTTTTGCTTGTCTTTCTGAAGTGAGGATTTTTCGTATAGACTCTATTGTTGTCTAATGATCGCCATTTCTCAAAAGCTCTGATCGAAAAAGCTAGCTGCTGTTGCTGCCTCCACAACGCAGGTCCAATCATCCCCCAGCATCCAAGTGTGTGAGTGTGTGTGTGCGTGTGTGTGTAATTGTGATTTACTCATTCATGTTATGCCCCGCTAACTTGCGCACCCTTGCCACTCCGCAGAGTGAAGCTTAACCTGAATCACAACCCTTGTCCTTCGGTACTTCGACTTCAATGTCTTGGCCTGGCTTCACGGTTTTAGGGTGCTTCCAAGGACCCAGTGACATTGTAATGGCTTAGACATTTACACGCATCTCACGCTGTGCCGTGTGCGTGTGTATAAGTCTGCAGCCCTTACATGACTGTTTGCCTTGGGGGGTTGATTTGCTTCTGGCAATGAGTGTAAATATGCTGTGCGGCCTTCCATTCAAGACGGTCGGGGTTTTTTTTAAAGCGTTTTTTAATTCCTTTACATGCCTACAAGTACAGCAAGTTATTCAAACGCCTTTTGTTCCACGTAGTTTGTTTAAAAGAATTCACGTTTCGTTTACCACGTGCTTCCAAATGGCGCATACGAGGGGTTGATCGTGAGGGAATTCAATTGGAGAAGTTACTTACGAGAAATCTTCCAGTTATTCCAATAAGCTTTGGTTATCACTAGAAAAAATGTTTCCTAACCAAAAAAATCTCTTTGAGGTCTATCCATTCTCTTTCTGTAGGTCGTATATAAAGTAATACCTGAATTTGTTTTTATATAAGTAAATTTTTTTTGGCATCTATAAATATGTCCCCTATCTCTGTAGCTAGCTTAACTTAGTTATCGAATACTCCCTGCTAGGCTTAGCTAACATTTGGAAAACAATAGCATTTTCCAAATTTCCATTGGCTGCCCATCTGGCTGAGAACAATGGCATTAGGTAAAAGCGCCCCTGGTGTAAAACTACTTTCATGTGGTTCCTTTTTCTAATTTAAGAAAAACATAAGCTACTTCTTTCCTTGTTTTTCTTTTGGAACCAGTTCTGCTAATTTGTGCACACGTGCAATTTTCGGCGTCTGTAACTGGACGAAAACAAAAGATCCTGCAAACAAAAGGATCCAGCTGGAACCGGTTGCCTGGGGGCAGGAAGTGTTAGGTTCAAAATGCCGCCAGCCACTGACACTGCAAATTAATGTTAATTTTTGGGTAGCAATAGATCAAAAAATGTATGTATATATAAATATAGAAAACTTTCTTTTTGTTTTGTACGAAAAGTTTTTCTTAATTTATCTTCAATGTAATTGGAAGCTTGTTAGAGGCTATGAAAAATGTTGGAAGAGTTGAGTTCAAGTGGTTCCAAGATGATTTGCCCGAAATGTTAAGTTGGGTGAAAGTTCAAATTGGTTAGAGTTCAGCTGTAACGAGTTTCAAACTCTATTGAGCTTTACACAAATTGAGTATATTGAATATAATAAGATAAATTTATGATATGATTTTCATATATTTCAATTTCAAGATAACGAGCTATAGTTCCAGTTCTGAATTTAAATTATATTTTAGTTGCAAAAAGAAAAAAAAAAAAGTTTTGATGAGTAATGTAATTATAGTTTAAATATTGTACTTCCTGTAACTTTAAAGCTGAAAGAATCAAATGTAATTTGAAAACTCGTTGATATTCCTTGACTCCTTAACAATGGGAGGGCTACGAATTGTTCAGTGTGTTTATTTATTTTAATCGAAATTATGTATGCACCGTAAAATCGATTGAAGAACCTCTTTCAATTCAATTGAAAACAGTTTATAAATCATCGACGTCATTTGCAACTCTCGAGCATGGGGGAAATTGACTTAAAGAACTCTACACTGTGGGTTTGCCGCATCCAATTCCCGTTTGGGTTGGCCGGTAAGCCACCCTTAGGGAATTTTCCTACTGGCAAATCCATTTCAATTATTATGAAAATTTGTTATTTACATTTCTATTGAAATGAATTGCTCGGGGAGGGAGTCTTATGGACGCGAGTTTTTAGGGAAAAGCGCACCTATATCCTGAACACATATTCACGTAAATCGTTTGATCGTGAAAAATTGGTGAAACATAAAAGTAACATAAAACTAAAGCCGAAATAGGGTTGACTCAACTTTTTCGATTGTCTTTGCTATTGTATCTGAAACTTGGGAGATCCTCCGCAGCTCGATTTGGGTTTCCTCTTGCGTCTCTGTCTCGCCGACAGTAGGACAAAAGTTAATGTTTTTATATGTGAAGCGCTTTTGTCTGGCCAAACTGGAACTGGAACTCAAACGCGAATCGGCATAAAGCGTTCGAGGTACAATCATAATAATAATCCCAGTTCCTAAAGATGCCCTGCCCCGAATGTATCTAGGGCAACGGGTTGTCTTGTTAGCCATTGTTCGCACAGCTCCTGCTCAGTGAGACTTAAACGCTAGAGAACAATTGTCCTCCAGTTCACACACACATACACACATGCACATACACTGTTCAATTGTCGGCGACGGGGTAGAAAGCTAGCAAGAAGATGCTTCATTAATTTCGAGGAATCCAATTTAATGCCCAGTCATGTGATATCATGTGAATTGAGAAGGCTCCCTAGCCACTTATGACTTAATATTGATTAGGCAAGGCTTTATTAGATTTGTCCAATCTAATCGAATCTACTCTTACTTCATGTATAGCTTAGTGTTAGTCACATATAATTTAGCTGTGCTATTGCAGTGACTCAGATAAGTCATTATGTGATACATATTTAGCAATATTTATAATATATACCCTTATAAATAGAAAGGTGATAGTACTTCATAAGTAGAAATAAAATTCAAGACAAGAAAGAATTTTGCTAAATCTGAATCTGGAAAATAAATTTTAAAAAAATATACAAAAAGTTTACCAATGTTTAATAGGATTAGTTGAAATATCTTGGAAATGTCTTGTCATATACAGGACATATATAAAATTTATAAAATTTATTCAGCAGACATTTCAGGAATATGGTTTTTATCTATGAACCATGTCTTATTCTCATATCATCCTCCCGCCTAAGAAGTAACCCCCTATCCGTTGTCATTTTCGCTTGACTGAGAAGCTAGACCTAACAGAAATTGGCAAGTTTTACTGTACTTTGGTGTGGACTATGGGTTGATTCTATAAACGTGAGTAATAAATGCTGAAGTTGTAAAAAAAGGAGTCCTGTTGTCAAGCACACGCGATTACTCATTCGCTCACGCTCAGTGAACTTTACGCCGGGAACTTCTTCCGCCGGCGCTTTCCACCCCGCGACGTTTGCTGGCGAAACACGTTGGTTAAATCGACTCAAAACAGAAGAATCGAATAAATATGTTGCGCTCGGCTGCTACTGACTTCACAATACTCGTCCACAATGTAAAGATAGGTAAATAGAGGCTACAAATTTTTACTGCTTACGAAAAAGTAATCTAAGGAATAGAAAGTCTTTATTCCATTTCATTAATTTCCAAATTATAAAGAAGTTCAACTGAAATATATCAGCGAAATTATCTCGATAGATATTTCTCTAAATATATTCTATTGCTTATTTTTACTTAGCTCAGTACTAAGTGAATCTACGCGCTTTGGCTCGCGAACGTGTATATAATAGCCCAAGGATTTGGCAATGCCATTGAAGGAAACCAGAAGGCAGACATTCAACAGACTTTTTTTGGGGTTAGTTTATGTTCCTCAAGATCTTTCCTTTGTTGACATACCCTTACCTAAAAAGGTATTCCAATTCAGTAAATAACTTTGTTACGGACAGATAGAGGATTCTGATGTAAAGAATAAAGTCAAATTGAATGAAAATAAATTTATGTATATACTGTTTGGTCACAATGATCTTATCTCGGGGTTTTTTTTTTTTTTTTTTAGAACAACAAAAATATTTTTTATAATTTTTTTAATTTGTTAAAATTATTTAGTAATCCAATATATACTTAAGAGAACAATGTTCTATGATATATATACATATATGGAAAGTCAAGTATATTTTTAATAGCAATCGATTATGAAATCCTTTTATGGCAAATCAAAGTAAATCTTATCATATTTCTAATAAAATCACATCTATATTTCTAAAAATATATACATAAAAAATATTATATTAATTATTATTTATTATTATCTATTTTAAATAATAATTATTTTATATTTTCTCTGTGTAAGGGCATTCGAATTTCTTTATCTTGATCGCAACTCCTTTCAAGTTTTCTCTATTATCTCCGCGTCCTTTGCCAGGATATGCGAAGATACATATTATAAAAATTTTCTTCAGCTCTATGCTAGCTGGTGGTGGTGGTGGTGATGGTGGTGTTCCGTCCGCTGCTGCTGCTATTCCTGTTGGCTGTGGTGGTGGCTGTGAGTTCCAATCCGCCCCGCCACCGCCAACAAATCCAACAGGAGAGTCGCATCCAGTGTCTCTCTCTCTCTCTCTCTACTTAGTTCTGTGTCTCGCTCTCTATTTGGGTTTTCGGGCATTCCATCGGTACACACTGACACAGTTATCGAGTGCAATTCGGACAGGTCGGTTGTGTTTTCTCCCGGTTCGCGTCGCGTATACTTCGTTGTTCGCATTTCGTCTTTCGTATTCCGGGCTTAGCTCTTTAATCAGTTTATTGTTGTTTGTTAAATCCTTTAGATAGTTATTTCGAGCATCTTGTAAATCTGTAGATCTGCACTCGCTTGACTCATCGCTCTTTGCTTCGTTTGCACTGTGAAATCTTTTGTTGTATTTATTTTTGGGTAAGTTCAAGCGTGTAATTCCTTGATCTCTGGACCTCAACACTCTAAGTGCCTTACATTAATTACTTGTCAGATCATGAACTTGTCTATACGTATATATAATGTGTACATATACATAGACCGCTCCACTGTGCTTTGTTGCAAGTGCAGACGCACAGCGAGAGATACATTTTATATCTTTTATATGCACATGCAGTTGCTCTTTGTGTCTCGCCTTGGATTTGTTATATTTCAACAACTTCCGCATTGTCAAACATATAGAAAACATATAGACGACGGCCGCTGTTGCTGCTACTAAAGTCGACAAGTCAGCAAGTCGTCTGCAATCAATGAACCGAGACCCACACAAGTTTTTCAGTACAAATATCGCAATTGAATGCATATATACGTACATTATATTGCCATTAAGCACGCTAAGAACTAAGACACGACTCTTGTATACCCTCACCATATCACAACATAGATATGTACTCCACTAGACATCATATATAGTTCGTTTCGGACTTGACTCAAGAAATAATATATATGTATGTATAAAAGCCAATAAATAAAAACTATTTATGCAATTATTTTTGTATAGATGAAAGGCCTTAAAGAAATGAATTAAAAACAATTTACTTCATGCAAGCATATACATATTTATCATTTGATCTCATTCACTCAATGTCCTCAAGTCTAATATACCCTTTCCCAAACGCTCCTGGTACGGGTATGCGCATATACATATTTTTCAGTTTCCAGAGTCTCTAATATTTATTTTATATTTTACATATTTCACGCATACGTATGGTATAATAAATATCTCTTTGTTGTTTATTTTTCATGTGCAGTTACGTGTTCTTCTTAGGAAATTACTTGAATATGATATTCTTGTAGTAAGCGGTTACTAAAAAAGGTGAGTACTTATCATTTAAGAAATCCTATGGATTAAAAAAAATCTAAGAATTTCATTGTGAATGGTTGATGGAAGTTTTTTCTTTTTTTGAGTAGCTGTCACTCTTATCTGAACGTAGAACGTATTGCTTATCTTTAAAACAATTAGAACTGAATAGCAAAAAAAACCGTTTTTGGAATATTATTGTACTCCAAATTAAGTACAGAAATAAAATTAGATAGGAAAAAAAATTTCAATAAAAGTTAGAATAATTAAATAATTCTAGATAAGCAATAAGTCAATATATATAAATGTACATATATTGTAGTTTATTTATTAAAGCTCCTCTCTTTGCGCTTCTCAACGTCACCTTAGTAATTCGTTTTTCGCACATACATATATATTTGCTCTTCTCGATAATTATAGCTGTGTCATGTTCTAAAATCAAATCTGTTGCCAAAAAAAAAAAAAAAAATCGTTTATATAAAATAATAAAATTTCCTTGAATGATTAAAATTGGACTTTATGTAGCAGCTAAAATTATATGTTGTGACGTCGTCTGGCGATACTATATATCTAATATATATAACTGTCTCAGCTAATGCTTGTATAGCAAGTCGATAAAGCAACTGCTCCTAGGCAAAAACAATAACAGAGAGAGAGAGAGGGAAAAAACAGTCTGAAGCTTCAATTGGCCCTGAACTTGACTTAAGCACTGTGGAAAAGTCAATGGCTCTACGTTTTGGCCTATACGTCTATACTATATGTTAAAATGCTTAGTTGCTCAAATTGTTATTGTGTTTTTTTTTTTTTTTTGTATTTGTTTTTATGGGAGATATATAATTTGTACGCTGCTGAAAGAGGCCAATGAACGTTAAGCGCACGAATCAGCAAAAAAGCGAAATAGGCAAAATAATAATATAATCGAAATATTGTTTATTTGTGGAAATCGCTGAGTGGTTTCAATCACATGCGAAATGCATGTCAGTTCATGAAAGCTCTATAAAAAAAACTTTAAATTATAGACGAATGCGATTCCCTATTTGAAAACATTTTAAAATCGTTTTTCATATATTATTTAATAAATTTTTAGCTTAACGAAATTTTACTAATTTAATTTAGTTTATTTATAGAAGTATTTTGTAAGCCTTTGTCTAATATGAATTCAAAATGTTTTTATCGGTCGCGGACTTTGATCTCGCACTGGTCTAACGGCTTCTACAATCCGAATTAGAATGCGTATCATAATGAAGTATAGAGCACTTCCTTATTGATAGCAATGCTGTGTGCAGTTCCTTGCGCTTCCTAAATATTCCCGGCACGCATTTTCCTTTTTAATTGAAACATAAGTCCCTTAACAATTTTATCCAGCCTAATGAAATTTCTGAGAAAAATGCAACCTCTTTCATGTAGTGGCTCGAAGTATTACTAGTGAAAACTGTCATTGGGTGCTGTGAGTAGTCCTCTGAGTAGTCCACCCACACGCAGTGCCCCTACGCCCTACGGTTCGCCTTCGGTTTCCTTTTTTGTTGTTGCGAATTTTCATTTAATAAACATAAACAAATCGATACGCGTCACAACAACGCCAGCAATGTCTGCGCGTTCCCCACCATTCGGGCGGGGTACATTTAGTATAGGGTCGGTCTATAGATACACATGTATATCTCTATAATACAATATAAGTGTGTACACATTTGCCGGCTGCTGTTGAGCCCCCGCCTGCCTCATATTGGGGGTTGTTGTGGAGATTTCTTGTTGTTGTTGTTGTTGTTTTGCTGCCATGTTGAAAATTACGACGCAAAATTTCATTTGAAATCCTTAAACAAGCTCTGGACAGTCGCACTCTCTCTATCCTTCTCTGCGTTTCTGTCTCTTTCTCTCACTCTCGCTCTTTCGCACTGGTGGTTTCCCGCTATCGCTGACATGCGCCCGCATAATAAAAACCCACGCTTTGTCGAAATTCCCCCCAAGTGGTAAACGCAACACCCACTCGCTTTCTCCCCATGTCCTTGAGAACTTTGCGAGAATTCGGTTGTATTTTTTGTTGTGCTTCTGCACATTCATAACAAAAACAAGTTGGAAAATTTCAAGGGGCGCACACCGACTGCTCCAATACCCTTTATAAAAACATAACAAATGGCGTGCCAATAATTAACTAAAATTTCTATCCATATACATATATATACAAATTTTTCTTAGTTAAAATAAATATATATATTATATATGAGTTTATTTTGAATAATATATATTAACGTTTCACTGGTTCCTAGCAAATATTCAGAGCCATTTCTATTTCTCACATAACAAACAAATAGTTTTGAACAATTCTGCCATAATTCATGGACCTATTTATAAAAATTTTAAATATTTTGTGGTCAAGCTTGCAAAGACCTTGACCTGCTTAGACTTATAAACTTATTTTACAGCACTCCAAGACTTTTTCAGTGTATCTAACTAATTACCCGAAGGCACTTTGAGAAAAACTTTTTCTTTGTACATGCTGGCAAATTACGTTTTTTCCCGGAAACTTTTAAAAATTTTCTAAATTCTCTCTTAAAAATGCTACATCCTTTCATTTGAAGTCATCGCATATGAACTTAGTTAACTTAGTTTCTGGACTGAAGTAAAGTTTTCCTCAAACTAATTAGTCAATACACACGCATGGTTTACAGTCGTTGGCGTTGCCAGACCTCTGAACAGAACGTGATAGCTTTTTGTTAATTAAAACATATTTATGCTGGGGCTTGTGAAATGCTTTGCATTTAATTAAAAAGAACGCGCGCGCGGTAACATAACGAATACATAAGTAGCGGGGCCGTTAGGCGAACGGCCAACCTTTAGGGTCGGCGTTGACGGGGTGGCAACACTGGCAACGCCCACTTACTTCTCAAGGTCCCGACGCTTCGGACTGCCATGAACCCGAGGACAACGACGACGGCGCTGCACGAAGCAAAAGTGAAAGTGTCAAGGAAGAGTGGGTTGCTAAATAAGAAGGAAAGGAAAATAGAAGCAGAGAATAAATAAACCGGTGCTTGTCAGCCCCAACACCCACACGACCACGCCCACGCAACGTTAGTCGCGGCGTAGGTGCTCTTTGGTAAATACTCACCGAAGGATACCGGCGCCCACGTCCTTGACAATCGTTTACCGCATAGTGGATCCTTGAAGTGGGCGTGTGAGTGAGTATGTGTGTGTTGGTGTGTTGGCGTGCGTGTGGTCTGGCATCCTTGGTTTTCTACGTAAATAGAAACTGGAGCGACTGTTCCTGAAGAGCGCTTCACTGGCTCCTGCTTCTGTTGTTTTTGTTGTTGTCCTGTCGCCTCGTTTCCGAAGCATATACATATGTATGTATGTATGTATGTACAAATACTTACATATGTATATGTATGTATGTACTTCACTCGCGCGCTGATTTTGTTTTCCTGTGTCGCAATTTACCATTCAAGGACATGGTCGTGATTTTTTGCTGTTGATTTTGTTCTTTTTCGCTGCTACAGCAACAGCTCTTTGATAAATTTTTTTCCATAATTCAATTGGATTGGCATTGAATCGTCAACAACTCTTAATTATTCTCGATGGCTGAGTGCGTCCGGGAGCAGGATTAAACTGTTTATATTGGATTTGTATATTCGCGTGAAATGCAATTTGAACTGATCAAACACTTTAATTGGTTGATTCAGCCAGTAAATAAGACTTCACTTCATCAGCAATGATAATGAATATTATCACTTTCTAGAATATGGTAGATAAGCCGGAATAGGACGTTTCTATTGTTGATGAAATTCGTTTTACGTAACAAGGAATGGGAAATTTGTGTTCATATGTACAACATATACATACATACATATGTATGTATGTAAGTCCACCATTATATAGCAAATCAGATTTCACATTGTCAAAGGCATATTGCATCAGCTTTATGCTATAAACCCCTAATATGAGCGAACTGTGTCAAAAGGCAAAAGGAAAAAATAAATGCTGATATTTGATTCATACATGAGCATACTTACATATGTATGTATGTATGAATATGTATAAGTCTGTATATATGTATGTACATACTTACATACATATATGTAATGCATAAGTATGTGTAAAGCAAATAGTGAAAAACGTTATTATTGCGCGCATTCCTCTTGTTATTATTATTATTATTTTAATGTTTTTACTGGTTGCTATAAACAAACCGTAAATGAAGCGAAGACAGGGAGAGAAAAAACGCAACGTCAGCAGCGAAAAGCTGCCGCATGCAGCGGTTCTTGGAGCGCGCGCAATTCTCGCTTGCGTCGCTTTGCATTTGTTTTGTTCTCTAAATAAAAACGGCTTTCATATTATAGTGTTATTTCAACGTTCAACTAGTTTATTTTTGCGAAAATAAAAACACAAATCAAAGCGCCAGACAATTTCATAACAAAAAATTTGCATTATAAAAAAAAAAATAAAGAAAAGAACAATAATAACAATGCGAATGCGCAGAAAAAGAAAACAAGCCGCCTAACCCGAAGTAAACAACAAAAGTGACGTCAAAAAAAAAAAGAAAAACGGGTGGGCAGCGGCAGCGCAGTGGTTGCGCATAGAAAGGGAAAGAGAGCAAAAGAGAGAGAGAGTGAACACAAGCGGGAGCGGAAGCTTTATAAATGAATTTATTTATTAATCAAATGGGGAAAACATAAACAGCTAAAGCAAAGCCGACAAAAATAAAAACCCAAAACAACAGACTGTACCCGAGCAGCTGCGCTGTCGCTTTTGGTGCTTAACTACTCTCCACTGTCGCACGCCCCCAGCACCGGCATTTAAGAAACCGAATGGAAAAGTGGAAGTGAAAGAAGCAACAGACGATGAGATGTTGTTCTGCTGCTTGTACTTGTGTGGGTGAGTGACATGCGCGCTTATAATCGCACACATACACACACTCAATTCTCTTTGTCGGTTTCTCTCTCGCTCTCTATCTGTCTCTCTTTCCGACTGCTGCGCTCGCACAGCTGAACAATCAAAACAAAAACGTTGACGGGGAGAGCTTTTGGTGTTGTGTATTTGTCGCCGAGCTTTCAGTTTTTATCAATCGGTCAAGAACGTTTGTCGAGCGCGGACACGGAACGGAATACAACACAGTTAATGTGTGCATTCGTGTGTGTAGCAACACAGTATACACACACACACGTACACACATAGAACTCGGTGCAGAGTGCGATAATCAAAATAAAACAGACAAAAATTATTTTTATTGCCGTTTCGTACATGTCAGAATCGCTGATAGAATGAACAACGAGCGTCAATGCAGCGCGTGCAAAAAATCAAAGTAAATAAATACAAACACCAAAAATGTAATATAATTTCTTAAAAAAGTAGTTGTGTTCATAATTCAATTAGCGTGCAATTAAAACAAGTCTTCAAAAAAACGACAACAAAACGCGTTTTGGTCATGCAAACTTAACTAAATTAAATCGGGTGCCTGGCATTTATTTAAACAAACTCGCTTGGGCAATGCGCGAACTAGTTTCAACATTCAATCACATAAAAGACCAACAACACTAAACAAATTTGCATAAATAAATACAGCAACAAACATACAAAAATAAAAATAAAATAATAAACCCTGCCAAATATAAAGAGTGCTGGAATTCAAAAAACAAAAATTCTAACGCTGCCGTCAACGTCGACAACGACGCGACGTCTGTCTCTCTTTCCCTCCTATAAACACTCATACACACACACACGCCCATAAAAGAGCGCTCGCGCACATGTGAGAGAGCTTTTCTTTGCTTTATTCCAACTGCTCAACGCTTGCTTTGATCAGTTGTTCGCAACGCGCTCAGCTGCTTGGTTGAAATCACCGCAAAATTGACAGCAACAACAGCAACGCAAACAAAAGCGCCTACAAAAGCTTTTAAGTTGTTGTAAATTTTTGCCATAATTATTAAGCAAATTTACGTTATATATACATATATATGTATATAGATATATATATTGAACCCTCAACGTGTGCCATCGAGTGACAGTGTTGTCTAATAGTTCAAGCTAAAGCAACAATAACTTCACTATTTCAATTCTTAAACTTCAAGTCTTACGTCAACAACAATAACCCCAGCATAACGAATTCGCTTCTAAGTATAACAATTCATTGAGTTAATGTTTTTGTTTCTGGTGACAAGCTGATAAGATTTCGCCGCGAGTGTATATATATAATATATATTATAATTTTACTTATCAAAAATTTATAGTGTGCATAGTTCTACTCTTATAAATATTATACCCATACACATAAAATATTTCTGTTTTAATCGCCACATGTGTGACCCAATTTATAAAAAAGAAAAAAATTTAAACAAAAAAGCGTGTTTAACACCAACAGAGAAATACACAATTTACATATGAAACAAATCAAGCTCCCATGCATGGGCACGCATACGAATTAATTAATGAAAGAAAAATGCGTTAAAGAAAATGTTTGTATAAACATTGCGAGCAATTTGCTTAACAATTTTTATGTATTATTCGTGGTCTTTAAAAATATATAAAATCAGCACAACGCGGAAGTTAAAACCGATCGCTCTATAGACGATTTACAACACTACCTACCAACGCGCCTCAACTGCAAATTGTTTATACCTTTATATATATATATATATACATGTATATAAATATATAGTAAATCATTTTATAACTGAACGCTGCTAAATTACAAGGTTGGTATTCCAGCGATTATTTATAAGAAAAGAATATATATTTATATGGGAAATATATATGTATGTATGTAGATGGCCAGACAACGACCCAATAATCCACAAAAGAAATAAATGTGTTTAAATTTACAAGAGAGAGAAAAAAAATGTTACAGAAAACAGGCAAAGTCCAGAAAAATGTTAATTATATAGGCTTTGCACGACTTGAAAGAGATTATACAAAAGACTCTGGCTAGAAATGAGAGACTTAAGCTAATTTTTTTTTTTTTTTTTATGAACGTAAAGTATAGCGTGAAAAATAGAAAGTCAAATGGGAGCAGCTATAAAAAACATCTTAAGAGTCTATAAACTTTATAGAAAAAGTGAGCAGGAAAAATATAATTAAAATTAGACTTAAAGCTCTAGAACTGCAAGACTAGATTGAAAACAAACATTTTTAAATGCCCAACATAGTGAAAGAAACTTTGAATTAAAACTATATGTATATTTGTAACATATTTGCATTTGATTAGTTCTTAAGAAAATGAAACGAGAATCGAATTAAACATCTTCCAAGTTTGTATATCTTCAGCTTATATTCTAATTGGGAAATTGGTTCCCTTTTCCGTTCTCAAATTCTTGGAGCTGTCAAAATTAGTTATTTATATGCCTGAACCAATTAAAATGTCAACTCATCCCACGAAACTCACACACAGAGACACACACATTGAAAATTCATCTAGTTGAGATTTAAAATCGAAATCGTGTAATGCGAGACCTTGCAGCAAAGCGAGGCACATAAAACCATAAATAAGCTCACATTTGTGTTTATGTTGGGGCCATAAAAACGAGCTCAAAACCCGAGCGTTTCCTGTACAAAACGAGAAAAGAAATACAGATTTTCATCTATTTTCATTTGAGTGCACATTAGTATAAGTAACATCGGCAAAAATCTGTTCAAATCTCTCCATTATTCGAATAGTACATACTATATATTATATGCAATATTTGGATCGGCATCTTTGCCTAAAGACTTTGAATACGGTTTTATTTTACGTTTATATTGCTCGCCCATTTGTGCATATAATCAAAAGTCGAATACAATACAAAAATTTGTGGCAAATCAAAAAATGAAATATACATATATGGCGAGCGTATCCGACTGCGTGATACCCTTTAAGTGTTTGTGAATGAATTAGTATTTGTGCAAAAAATTTACATATTCGTAGAGCAATCAATCGAGGATCAAATTGTCGGAACTATAGTACCTTAATATCTGCTGATTCGTCTGCATTTTGCATCAATATTTAACATGCCTCACAGATCATCCCTGCTTTCTGCATGCTGCATTAATGGGTATGACAAAGTAGGCGACCCGAAAAGAAAAAAATAAAAAGCAAATTAAATTTGAAATTGATTTCAATTTGAATTTCGAATTTCAACGCGTTCAGAGAGTTCAGTGTCAGTGCGCGAAAATTCAAGGCTGTACAAAAAAAACTGTTGCTGAGAAACACAAATATCGAGTTGGAATGCCTACAAACCGGCCATATGTTGGGCAAATACTAATAGACCCCGGTCTCTACACCCTGCCGCCCTCTCGGCCCTTCTCTCAGCAGGTTTTTAGCTTGAGTTTCTATTTGTGCTTGGATGTGTGTGTGTGTGTGTGTGTGACAGTCTTTGTCTTGCTAAGCCAAAACCTCAAACCTTAAGCCACATTAGATATTCTCTATTCTGGGCTGATTTGTTGTTAGGCGCCGCTTTATTACGTATACGACGGGGTCTCCAGCTGTCTGAGCCGCCGCTTGACTTAATTGAATAAACAGCGACTGTTGAATACTGCAATATCTGCCATATCTGACATTTCATACCTTATAGGCCGTTGTTCAGCTGCTTTTTATCATTCAGTGACTCAACAGTTGAGCGCACGATAAGGGCCTGCTGATAAAGCAGCCAAACGGAAGACAAATAAACATTAGCACAAGTACGAACGGGTTGGCAGGTTGATCAGCTGCTTGAAAAATCGGTTGATTGTTGAGTGTTGACTATATACTGATGCATATATCACAATGAATCCTCGAAACAACTTTATTAAGTCAGAATATGAATTATGAAAGTTCCGTATAAAGGTTGTTGAATTTATCAACAAAACTTAGCCTTCAAACACATACGATAAAGATAATCGGGCTTAAGCTCTAGAGATGAAATGAGCTGGAATGACATGAAATGAGGTGCAATGAAATAAATTAAGAATGCGGTTGGATGAGATGAAGTGGGAAAGGAAAGTCAGATCAATTAAATTTGATTGAAATTATTTAACTTGTTTGTAAGAAACCTTTTGTTTACATATTCAATGTTTTGGTATTTTTAAAGATTTCTATTTGAGCTGAATACTGAATGTAAATTAGGAATTACAATTAGGGATGGGAGCACGTGAATAAATTATAATTAATTAGGTAATATAAATAAATTAAATTAAATTATAATATTTTAGTTTGTAATTATAATATCGTGTCACGATATAAACTCGATACGTCGCACAGCTGTATATCCCAGTTCCATTTGCCCGACTTGCCCCGAGAATTGTATTGTATCGGAATCCAGTTTCGATACGATTAAAATGCTGATTATATTTGTCGCACTTATTGCATCATTTCTCAATTCCTCGATTGTTGTTTCGATTGAGAGCGTATTAAGTACATAGTTTAAAAGTGCTCATCATGGAATGTGCTAAACAAATGTCTATATATATATACATATATAAGAGTAGAACTGTCATATATAGTATATATAAATAATTCTCATGTATATATTCTATGTACGGTCAATGATTTGTCGGCCTTCAAGTTTCTTTGTTGTTGCTTGATGATCTTCCCTCTGACTGTGGCCTCTGCGGATGCGGCCATTAAGCAAACTTGTTTGCTTTTCTTTGAAATTTCGTAAAAAGTATAAATATCTACCATATACAGAGTGTACTATATATATCTACAGATATATGTACCTAGGTCTATATATATTGTGAGATCCGTTGCTATTCTACTGACTCATGGCTTACAAATTGTTTTATATTTTTATTTGGGTTTATCTATGTACATACATATCCCTCTATCCAAAACCAAAAGCTGAGAAACCCTTTTTAAAAGAATTCTTGGAATTTATTTTGCTCACGATTTCAGTTTCTTTTGTTATACCCTGAACCCATTGAAAATGGGAAATCAGGGTATAATGGTTTTG